TTTCGGTTTGCCCGGGCACTGTACCCTCCTCCGTGAGCGACTGTTGAAAGTTTGCTTTTGTGTGCGCTTCCCTCCTCTTTGTCATGTAGCTTTTGTCTGCGTGGTATCATCTTCCCAGTTTATCCGCACTGCGCGCCAAGTGGTTGCTTATGTTTTGAGCACGGGCCATCTATTGTGTTCTCCGTGTCATGATGCCATTTTCCCCATTCATTCACTGAATACTTTAAATGCACGGTACGGCTAACCATCTGGCGTGTAAACTTTGTGCCAGTCTATCTGACTTCTTGTGAAAAAAATCATTCGACTTCAGATTCCGTAGACGAACAAGAGTCTTCCTCCGTATAAGATCCGCGGAGGTCTCTCTTCGTCGATGAGAGAACGCGAACTCCCGGGCAGATATACGGTAGTGGTCCGCAAAGCCATCTTTTTTCTGTTTTCTGTTTCGCTGTTGTGGTTAGTAGTGTATGCTTCACGCTACTGCTACTGCTATCCCTCGACAACTTCGATGGCCCGTGTTCACAAGGACCCCTCTCTCTCTCTCTCTCCGTATTGAGATTGTCCACCTTTTTGTTTTCCTTTGAACATACTGTGAGCTCAAAGAGAAACCATGCACGCGGATTTCGGGACCGGCTTCGTAAGGACCGACGACGACGATCTGCGACGATGAAACGGAGAGGAGATTAACTGAGATGTAAGGGAGGGGAGATATAAGGGAGGGGAGATATAAGGGAGGGGAGATATAAGGGAGGAGGGGAGATATAAGGGAGGGGAGATATAAGGGAGGGGANGGGAGGGGAGGTGTAGGGGAGGGGAGATATAAGGGAGGGGAGATATAAGGGAGGGGAGGTGTAGGGGAGGGTAGGTGTAGGGGAAGGGAGATGTAGAGGAGTAGAGATGTAAGGGAGGGGAGTGTAAGGGAGGGGAGTGTAAGGGAGGGGAGTGTAAGGGAGAGGCGATATAACGACGCATAGGATATGGAACGGAGAGACGAGTAAGGGCGAGGAATTCGAGAAGGTGCGGTTGGTCGGTCATACAAAGCATATACGGAGACCTAATGCGTATGTAATATGCATGCACCCTAATTGCTAAAACAAGGAAAGCGTGGATGTACAGTTGATTTATTTCAACCGTGTGTTGTGAGAATGCAGTGAAGCCATCTTTGCAGCATTGGAAACGTCGTCGACTGAATCTGATCAGAAGTGCGGTCAGATACTTGCTCGAAAGCCCTGGAGCGAGGAATCCCTAAGGCTGTTTGTTCGCTCCTGATGGGTTCGAAAACAAAGCTATTAATTTTGTTTTCTCCTGATGAGGTCGAGAACAAAATTCATCATACATATTCTTTGAAGTGAGGAAGCGTCTGCAGTTGAAGCGGTTGTGAATAGAGATTCGTCGCCACTGTTCAGCAGGGATGGATTGTATATACATGTGGCATATGAATATTTTGGATTATATATACATGTGGATATGTTGTGGTATGCGTATAGATGTCTATATGTATGTAGTTTCTCCTGTCACGGAGTTTATATGTCGTTGTGGTATGCGTATGTATATCTATAATGTACGTTCTGCTGGATATCGGTGAAACTCCGACGAAACAGTTTGCCACAGCCCCTCGTTTGTTGTCCTCTTCTCCCTCTCTGCCTACGGCTTACCGGGCAAACAGAACTGCCCGGTATATGTATGTATCGTGGGTTGATATGGCACACGGGGGTGGGGGCAGCCGCCGCTCAACCTACATCCACGTGGGCGGCTTTGTACGCAAGAGGTTCTGAACAGGGGGAGTTATAAGGAAGAAGATAAGAAACTGAATTCTTTTTTTTTTTTGTTTTTCTTTCGCATTTGCGCTCTGATATTCTTGTGACAATATATATTTTATACTTACGTTTATATCGATGTGTGTACGTGTAGATATATCGTTATAGAACTGCCCGATGAAACGTAGGCGAAGAGAGAGAGAGAAAAGGACGTCAAAACAGAGAGGGAGAAGAGGACGACCAACAAGGGGCTGTGACATACACGTATATGTATATGTAGATGCATGTATATACATATATATCTGAGATAGTCTGTCGCAGCCCCTCGTTTGTTGTCCTCTTCTCCCTCTCTGCCTACGGTTTATCGTGCAATTCTTTATGACGATATACATCGACGAAACAGTTTGTCACAGCCCCTCGTTTGTTGTCCTCTTCTCTCTCTGCCTTACGGTTTACCGGGCAGTTCTGTTTGTGACGATATATATTTGATATATTTGACAGTCATTCAAAGGTAAATTAACTAGTTAAGAGATTCTGGATGCAGTGAAAGCGGCGGCTCGATGACGAGTAAGCCACGGCCATGGCATGACGCTCTGTTCGTGAGACAGCCGAAGAAGGATGCATCTCTGGGAGAGCAACGATGCGACGCAGGTCGTCCTCGCCCCGCTCTTGCACACAGAGAGAGAGAGAGAGAGAGAGATGGTGCTAATGTGTATAAAATGTGTATTTGAAGTTTTCTCGTGTGCCTGGCTGTCACGCTAACACCTGTGTTGTTTTCTCTACAGGGTGATGAGCTGAAGGTAAAGGTGAACAAACTGTCTTCGGCAAGGACACAGTTGCCCTACGATTACTACTCGCTGCCCTTCTGCCGACCAACCAAAATTGAAAATGAAGCGGAGAATCTCGGGGAAGTGCTCCGAGGAGATCGGATTGAAACGTCTCCTTACATTGTAAGTCGCAAACTGCAGCATCTCTCCTTACATGGTCAGGAGAAATGTTCACTCTGTTGGCCTTCTCTCCCAATTTCTCTCCATCTCTCACCCATTCGTTGCATAGCACCCTCTACCATTTTCACCGGAAGAGAGCTCGCGGTTGATTATCGATGTATCTAGACTGGATCGTGCCCCGAATGCGGATATAATATTGACCCGGCGTTCCATTGGGTGGAGAACGGTAATCGTAATCCCTCTCGCCCTTCCCTTCCGTACACCATCTTCGCGTACCGTCGTCATCTTCCGTACGCCTGTGAGGCATGATGTTTATTTAACCTTCCAGGTACTTTTCCCCACGTCAAATACTTTCTCTCCTTCCCCCTTCCTTCCCCTCTCCTCCCTCCCCCCTCTCCCCCCCTTTTCCTCTTTCACCATCTTTCCTCCCCGCCTTTTCTTCTCTTTCCTAACTTATCATGATATATAGATAAAAAAAACGAATTATTTTTTTTCTTGTTTTCTTCTGTTTTTTTCGCCTTTGCGCTCTGATATTCATGTGACGATATATATCTGGCACAGTATGACAATATATATGGCAGACGGCCTGTTTTCTGCGGACGGGTGGGCTTGTGATATCAATTCTTCAAGTCTGTTTGGGAGCAAAGGGATGGATGAAGTGGTCCCTGTCATTCGGTGGTGTGCCTGTGTGGGAGTGAATAGATGTCATTCTGCGGACAGGTGATTCTGTGGTATGGTGGGTTTGTAGAATAGGTGGGCTTGTCATTCTGTAGAATAGGCGGACAAGTGGGCTTATAAAACAGGCTTTTAGGGTACTATATATACAGTCGTGACACTACGTTAAGCCTGTTTACAGAACAATCTCACGTACTTACGAACAGGCTTTTCTGTCACTTAGTCATAATAAAAAAAGGTTAACTGTTTCTTGTTGTGCCTAGAATTGCAAATGGAACGAGCTTTCATGTCAATCACGAGTATTTATCGTAAATTGAATTGGGGCCCCGATCGGGGACACAGCATATAAACGCACATTCACGCTGCTGCCTGTTTCTGTCACGACCGGGTGATTTTACTCTTTAATTACTTGTTTCTTTCGTGTTCTTTTCTCTATTCTCTGCTGTGTGGGAATCTCTGTCCGAGTTCTTACAGTAATTTTTTTCTTTTTTTTCTTTTTTGGGTCTTACAGTAATTTCGCAGGCACCTTAGAAATGGAAGTATGCGCAGTTGCGCCCCGCCCTTTGTCTATATCCTGTTTCTCTTTTTCTTTACTCCGTGAAAATGTTCTTTATTTCCCCCCCCCCCCCCCCCCCCCCCCCCCACACACACACGCACAAAAGAAAATAGAGGTCTCTATTCTGTATACAGTATCGCCCTGTTCTTTGCGGCTTCTCATCGTGTTCTCTACGTCTCTTTATATTCTATACTGCGGGGAATTGCGATTCCCTCCTCCACGTGGCAGTTTGTCTCCTCCACGTGGCAGTTTCTCCTCCACGTGGCAGTTTCTGTCTCCTCCACGTGGCAGTTTCTTTATCCTCCACGTGGTAGTCTCTATGCTCACGTGACAGTGTTCACGCCTCCTCCACGTGGCAGGTCACGTCGTTAAGCAGTCACGCCTCCACGTGGCAGGTCACGTCGTTAAGCAGTCACGCCTCCTCCACGTGGCAGGTCACGTCGTTAAGCAGTCAGCATAGAGGACTCGAGTGTTCGCGGAGAAGAGGAAGCTGTTCTCACCGTCTCCGTTGAGTGCTGGTGTGTGCGCAGACTGGGACTTAGAGGACTCCCTGCTTTTGAGGAGGACAGGCAACCTGTGAGCTTGCTCGCTTGATTTTGAGACACAATAGCGGTAGCTCGAGCGGGCTACCGGTAGTGGCCAGTCGTCGGAAACGAATATGAGACACAATAGCGGTAGCTCGAGCGAGCTACCGGTAGTGGCCAGTCGTCTGAAACGAATAACTCTCCGGGCTACCGGTAGTGGCCAATCGTCGGAAACGAATAAGAGGAAGCTGTTCTACCGTTTCTCCCGTTGTGTAGTGTCGGTCTCTTTCAGTGGGATTACTGCTTTTCAAGGGTAGAGTCGCGTTCTCTTTGGTTAGTGGTCTTCTTCCGTTGCTGGCACGAATAACCCTCCGGGATTCATAGTCGCCCGTTTGCTGTTATTCCCTTTTTGAAGCCCCTTACCTTGGATTTGTTCTCCATTTCTAACACCGACTTTTTAACGCGCACATTGCTGTTGTCGTGTTGAGCATGCGGGTTTGTGCCTAAAATACGTGACCACAGTGTGTTTCCTAGTTCGTGCTGTTGTTGCCGTAGTCCACAGTTAAAGTCGTTCCCAACGGGCTTTTGATCACGTTGTACTGTCCGACTTCCCCTAGTTCTAATCACTGGTTGCCCTCGAAGTCGGCGCCAGGATACACCCATTCGTTGTCTTCGGTTGATAGGGCGCACTTTGTGTGTGATCGTAGTTCACTCGCGTGTGTAGAGTGTTTTACACACACACACACACACACACACACACACACAGAGAGAGAGGTGGGTGGGGAGCATAGGCGGTGTATTCTCTGTGATCCCATCGGCACTGTCGCGTAAAAAAAACTGAACAACTTCTGCCTCAGGGTCACATCGAAATTCTTCACCAAAATTAAAATAAAAATAAAAAATAAAAAATAATTTTTTTATTTATATTTTTTTTGGCCCGGCCGGGCAAGTGACCCCGGGCCAGTCTGGTAGCCTAGTTTTTTCCTTGTTTTCTTTCTTTTTCTTTTTTTTTCGTTTTTGCGCTCTGATATTTTTGTGACAATATAATAGAGGTTCTGAACAGGGGGAGTTGTAAGAAAGAAGATTAAAAAAAAACGATTTTTTTTTTTTTCTTCTTTTGATTTTTTTCGCCTTTGCGCTCTGATATTCATGTGACGATATATATGTTTACGATATATATAGGGTTCAGCTTCCTGATGAGTCGGTGAAACCCCGACGAAACAGTTTGTCACAGCACCTCGTTTGTTGTCCTCGTCTTCCCCTCTGCCTCTACGGTTTACCGGGCTGTTCTGTTTGACGATGCATACGGAGGGGGCGGTGCTTGCATGTGGGACTTGTCATCTAGGATATGTTTTTTTTTTTTGCCCCCTGTTTCGTTATATTTGGCTGTTCCTTTCCTCTTTCTTTGCCTCTTTGCCTTTTGGCTGTGTGCAAGTGGGTCGATATGACACACGGGAGTGGGGGCAGCCGCCGCTCAACCTACATCCACGTGGGCGGCCTTGTACGCAAGAGGTCCTGAACCGGGGGAGTTGTAAGGAAGAAGATGGAAAAAGAAATTCATTTTTTTCTTGTTTCCTTTTTTTTCTCTTTTGCGCTCTGATATTCTTGTGCCAATATATACGAATGCTTATGTTTATGTCGAACAGCCTCCTGACGAGTGGGTAAAACTGCGACGAAATAATTCGTCACAGCCGTTCGTTTGTTGTGTGTGCTCTTCTCCCTCTCTGCATACGGTTTACCAGAGGGCAGTTCTTTTCGACTAAGTGATCTTGTTGCTGAGAGCCTCGCCGAGTTTTTCTGTTTCGCATGACAGTATTTATATTTATGCTTATGGAGGATGTGTTACGGTGGTGACACGTGGAGGTTGTGGTTTTGATAATCGCTTGAAAGTTTATTCTTCACCGTATTGCTTGACACGGTATTGTCGATGGAGCACAGGACAAGGTCGTAATCGGCTGAGTTTACAGGACACGTAAGCACAGGATCTTACAGTATTTTCTGCACGTCAGTTTACGTCGGCACAGGATTTTATGTTCTGCAGTCCAATCCGCCTCCGAGGAGAGGATGTTTTCTTATTGGCTATGGAGGGAGCATGTCGAGAGGATGGAGACGGTCTTTTTTTCTTAATAATGAGAAGGCGGGGAGAGGAGGAAGAGGAGGGGGGAGACGAATGGAGAAGTGCGCAGGAGGGAGGGGAGGGCGGGGGGCTCCGTTTCCTGGAATTGCCTTGGCCCATATCTGCCCATCTCAGCTGGCGCCTCTTCTCCCCCTCCACCCAACTCCTCATGCCTCCCTCTCTCACTTTGCTTATCGTCATTGTCGTATTTGAACTCATTCTACCCGGCTCATCATCGTCTGGCCATATCCGTTCACCTCAGCTGGCCTCTCTTCTCTCCCTCCATCCCTCTCCCCATGCCTCCCTCTCTCATTGTCATGTTCATCTTTGATCGCAGACTACCCACATGAGCCGGGCAATAATGAGAGTGGGAGGCATGGGGGGTCAGGTGGAGGGGGAGAAGAGGGGCCAGCTGAGATGGACAGATACGGCCAGGCGATTCCAGGAAACGGAGCCCCCCGCTCTCCCTTCTCGCCTGCGCGCTTCTCCCTTCGTCTCCCCTCTCCTTGTCCTCCTCTCCCCGCACTTCTTATTACTTAAGAAAAAAAGAAAAGAGTTGCACATCTCCCCCGCTGCAAAACGTTTGTACTCGCTTACCCCTCGACCGTCGCAAAAGGTCCGAGAGGTCCCCCAAAGCAAGCTGGTGGTGAAAGCTACGGATCCCGCTCCCTCCCTCCCCTCCCCCCCCCCTCCCACCCCCCCGCGCCTCGAGCCTCTCGGGAACTTCGACAATTCCCGCGGCGGGGGGGGCGAGGGGGGCGAACGGGAGGGGGAGGGCAAACGAGTACAAACCTTTTGCCTCGGTGGGGAGTATACTTTTCCCCACGCGATTTCAGGAACTGAGATGGACCCGTATGGTGACCACGGGATTCCAGGCAACGGAGGAGAGGGATCGGAGGAAAATAGAACGAGAGCCGGCGGAGAGGGTGAGGTTTTCTGCTGTTTAAACTTTTCTTTTTACTTCCTGATATATGTAAAGTTGGTTGGAGGCGGCGACGAAATTGAAAGGTGGTTGGAGGCGGCGACGAAATTGAGAGGCGGCGACGGGGAGGAGGATTGGTCCTTTTTCCGGCGAAACATGGTCATGTCCCTGGTATTGCGAGGTATAGGACACAGGAGAGACAGCAGTGGAGGAGGGAAAGAAATAGGGCGGATGATTGGGTGACTGAGAGGGGGTGCAGAAAAATCATGGGGTGTTGCCGAGATTAACAGAGGAAGATAGACGAGCAGGGGGGTAAGAAGGGGGGTAAGAAGTGTTTTCGTCTTTTCGTTTGCCATGGTGTAATTAAACGTGGGACAGGAGGGAGAAGTAGGGGGGTAACGAGGAGGGAGAAGCAGGGGGGTAAGAAGGGAAAACCC